AGATACAATGTATTACACTGGCCAAGTTAGTCACAGTGGCATTTGTTTGTGAGAGTGAATACTATAATGGCATGGTTCACTCAAAATACTGTCATCATTTAGTTACTCATGTCATTCCAAATATTATTATAGTATTAGTAAAATTATATATATATATATATATATATATATATATATATGAAGAGTTTGGTTCCAAAACACTATAAAACGCCTTTTTTTTATTGATCAGTATTGTATATGGTCGGTATTGAAAAGTCCATTTTTAATTTTACGCAAAATGCGATATCCACCGAGTTATTGTCATGTTTTCTCATTTTCTTTCCAAACCGCGACAAACACCAGTCTCCCTTCTCTGCAGAATGCGATATATCCGCTCAACCAATCACTGCACTCTCGACAGTAATGGTGGCGCTTTGAATAAACCTGGCATCCTAGTTAAATCGCATGTGATTGTCATGCGCATCTCGTCAGTAAAGCCGGTTCTGTGATTAATAGTAAATCTCCACCACTTGCTTTCAGATGGATACACAGAGCCGTAGATCACTGACTATGCAATATCGCGTTCATAAACGCAGACGAGTCGCATTAGATTATGAACGCGATATTGCGTAGCTTGTCAGTGTGTTTTTATTAATGCCATATATGTTTTTGGTAATACAGCTTATAGCACTAGTCAACTAATGAATGTAAAATGGCAAAGATTAATACACTTTTGGAAGTTGAATGTAAGGGAAATGTAATTTTGGAATTTCTGTGGTCTAATGTGATATTGTTGTTCATGTTCTTGTTCATGATGACATTTTATTTTATTGCTGTAATTAATTTATAGCATTAACAAGACGACTGGTTGAATTCATTTTGGGAGCGATGACTGATTGAATGTATTTTTTAATCCATTGCCTGTATATAAGATTAGTATTGACCAAGTTCAGAGACTGTCATAAGTGGATTAACCATGTTGTGTATTTTCAACAGTTTCAATATATATAAAATAAAAACTTTTTATATTGATTCAATGGATTTATTGCATTTTGAAAAAAAAAAACGTGTCAAGGATTTATTGCATTTTGGGGGAAAAAAATAATAAAATTTTATAATAAATCTTTGAAAATCAAAATCTGGATTAGAATTTTTTTAATGTTATTATAACCTAAAGATGCTATGAAAGTCTGAAACAGAAAATAGTGGTTTCCATCTTGCCACTTTCTTGGTAAAGAAAACACATTTTTACTCAAATGAATCAAACTGGATTTATAGCATTTTGGAACCAAACTCTTCACTCACACACACACACTCACACACAGACACAGACACACAGACACACAGACACAGACACAGACACAGACACAGACACACACACACACAGACAGACAGACAGACAGACAGACAGACAGACAGAGAGAGCGTCAGCGGCTACTGTCAACTGTTTGGTTACCCACATTCTTTAAAGGGGTCATATGATGTTGCTAAAAAGAACATTATTTTGTGTATTTGGTGTAATGAAATGTGTTTATGCGGTTTAAGGTTAAAAAAACACATTATTTTTCACATACTGTACATTATTGTTTCTCCTCTATGCCCCGCCTTTCTGAAACGCGTCAATTTTTACAAAGCTCATCGGTCTGAAAAGCGAGGTGTGCTCTGATTGGTCAGCTATCCAGTGCGTTGTGATTGCCTGAATACCTCAAGCGTGTGACGGAAATGTTACGCCCCTTAACACATTCTGATGCCGTCTCCCGGCACGGCGAGACAAAACCCATTACAAACGAGGCATTTGTTGCATCCAGTGGGGACATAATTACTGATTATAATGACTTATACTGTGTTTTTACGCGTTCCGTTGCGTATTACGCCACGTAAACATAAAACCATGTCTGCATTTGTGATCGGAGAAATGACAAACAACAAGCGCTACTCACATTCGAATCATCAGTGGCAAATTCTTTAAATATAAAAAAATTTACTTACAGGCTGTGAGTCAGAAGTGCCAGACTGTCCTTGCAAAGTTGGAACTGCCCAACTTAATAGAATAGCCTTTGATCACAGACCCATGTATGTATGCTACTCTGCAGGTTCAGGAAACAGTCTTCCATAAAAAGCGTCACACAGCATCACATAGTGGGCTTGAGTGAGTGGAGGCCGGCGGCCTTTAAAAAAAGGCACGGCCGGCGGATTTGACGAAGGTGCGGCCGGCGGGCGTGCGGCAACCACATGTGACGACCCCAGGCTGGACTCCGCTTTGTCCACGGTGAAAGCTGATCCGGCGATTCACAGCACGAAGCTGATGCATTTCCTCAGCAACCAGCACGGATCAGCTCTAGGCATGACGAAGCGGATATCGTCCTCTTTTGGAAGACCAAACAAAGTAGTTTCGCTTTCACAATGAATAACACAGCGCATTCACGACATGGCAGCAGCAACAATACTACAGCGAGAATAAAAGTTACGCCTTCTTTCCTTGCATGAACATTTGGGCGGTGTTATGCAAATCTTCCCACTTC